TGGCAAACAGTTATACCAAGGAAGTTACTGGAAGTTGTGTTGCGTCAATCCCATGATACTGTAACAGGAGGACATCTCGGGATTAGGAAGACATTGAGTCATCTACGACAAAGATTTTATTGGATAGGTATGAGGCGAGATGTGGAAGAATGGTACCGGACATGCAGTACATGTAGTGCAAAAAGGGGACCCGAGCATAAAGGATGCCCATCTTATGAAGAGTTGCCTGATGGCCTATAGGACAGCAGAGCACGAAGCCACTGGATACACTCCAGCAAATTTGATGTTTGATCGGGAACTTCGGTTGCCAGTGGATCTGTTAACAGGACGCCCACCTTATGAAGAAAATGTGTCAGAGTTTGTGGAAGTGTTATCGGAAAGGATGGATGATATTCACCATCAAGTGCGTTCAAACTTAAAAACGTCTGCCGATTCGATGAAGTTAACTTATGATAAGAGATCTACTGAAGTCAGCTTTGTACCAGGGGACAAGGTATGGTTGTATAATCCGAGGAAGACAAAAGGGAAGTCTCCTAAGTTGTCTTCTCCATGGGAAGGCCCATATGACATAGTGGATCGCCTCTCAGACGTGACTTTCCGGATAAAATGTGGCCGGCTAGGTAAGCCAAAAGTGGTGCATGCCAACAGGCTTTGGCGTTATCATGGTCCAGGACATTTCAGTTGGGACGAAGTGGACAACAGAACAAATGACGCTACCGAAGACGTGCCACCTGAAGAAGCCACCATCGAAGAAGAAACTCTACTCAGTTTTGAGAAGGGAAACGGTGAAGCTCTTGGTGAAGTTACTACCACTGATGTGACTGTTACCGATGATGGGACATTTACTGATGAAGCGGATGAACCCCACATGAAGCAGAAGCCAATGAGACGGAGACCAGTACGGAAGAAGATACGTCCCGTAAAATTAAGAGACTTTGTTGAATTGTAATTTTGTGTTTGTAATTCTGTACAACTTAATTAAGTTATTGTTAATTGTTATTGGTTTATCATATGTGGTTATTGTTCGGGACGAACAATATTAAGGAGGGGGCAGTGTTGCGTCAGCGAGTCACATGACTACTGTGACGCCACGTTCTAGAACTATCCTGTACTTTGGCGAATGCTCTAGTATTCACTACATTGGGTAGGCTGGTATATATAAGAGGGGTACAACGTGACGCGGTAATGTAATGTGTGTGTAGATAGTGAGTAATTGAACTGCAATCAGAAGTATTGTTGACGTTCGTTGATTAGCGTTTGTTTTAGCGCGATTGTTGAAGTTAAGTGTATCGGTAAAGTTATATTCGGAAAGAATAAACCAGTTTTATTAAGAAAAGACTTGTGTCGCTTAAGTTTCGTCGGAACGAAGTTACTGAAAATCAATTAACAAACGGAGACGTAACAGTACTTTAAAATAACCATAATAATAACAGAAAAATTCTAAAATTTAACACTTTGGAAGCGGTACTACTACAACATTCTTTGTAAGCATAGTAATTTATAAACATTTTTAATTTATACTGTACTAATAAACCTGTATCATTTATACTTGTACTAATGTATTTCATTAATCATTTATACCTGTACTAATGTATTTCACTAATCATTTAATTTGCATTTAATATTTGTTTTATTTAAGCTTCTAGCAGTCCATGGTCCTTTAGAGACACGGGAGGGGGATAATTAGGGGGTCAGAGGTGTATTGTTGATTTATTATTACGTGACCTCTGTTGGTTAGATGAAACGGATAATCCGGCAAGGTTGCCGGAAAATCGGTGGTGTACCTGTAATAATCAATATTTTATTTTATAGTAATCGGTGAAAGGGAGATGGAAAGAGTGAAGACGTCTGAAGCCAGAAGGGTAAGTTCCTAAGGTTTTTGGAATATATTATTTAAATCTCTTTTAAGGATATCATTAATATTCTTATTTGTCGAAATTTGTGTTACTGTTAATAATACCAATAATATACATTGTAAATATTAATTTTTTAGATTGAAACTTGGTGGTGTAAGTAGTTTTTATGTATCAGAAACGTTAGATTAGGCTTAGCGAGTGTAACGCGACTTCAGCTAAAATTGGTAAGTTAAAAAACAGGCAAGAAACATTGTATTGCTTTATAAATATAATCTAAAACTAGTTATTTGTCGCTTCTTATTTTAAAGATAATTGTTATCATTTTAGTACGAAGTTAATATAGTGATGAAATAGGCCATAATAAAATTGATGATTAATTCTCAAATATTAGGCTTCAGTTTTATCTAGTCTACTTCAGTACTTGTAATTTGGCTTCATTTATTCCCAGACTACAATATTTAAGAATAATGTATATGTTTAGCATTAATAGTTTGTAAGGTGTCGTGGGTGCTAGGAATGTGTTTTATTTTGAAACTTGGGACTGGCATTTACTTATAAGTTATATTTTTTTGGAATCCAGTAGTGAAGATTAACAATTTGTTTCTATTTATACTTAGTAGAGTTTGCAGGTTGGAGAAGAAATTGGAGACTATTCCAAATAGAGTAGAGGCAGTAGATAAAAAGAAGAGTAAATTGTGGGAAATGACAGTAGGATTCCAACTTTCAAGAGGACTTTAAGCTTTTGCATCCAAGGGATGTAGTACTAGTAGTAGAAACCAATGACTTTCAGTAAGTTAGAAACACTTCAAACAGTACTAATACTAGTAGTAGTGCTAGAGTAGGGGTATTGTATGTAATTGTAAATTTAATGGTCATTTTCTATCAGTATTAAGTAACAGATTTCAGGCTTCAGTTTGAAGTTTGGAAGTAAAGCAAACGGGATACATAGGGATGGAAACGAAAAAGAAGTTAATAGTTATATGTATAGGTGATTCTTTAGTACATCATATGAATATGATAGTTGATGTAGTAAATATGAAGAAAAGAATTAACTTGTGCTATCCAGAGATAGTGTTACTGTTACAGGACATATCTGTTTATATAGTAAAGTGTGATAGCAGTGATGCAATCTTTGTAGTGCACATAGGGACTAGTGATGGAGAGAAGGGTATGTCATTTTTGTCAGAGGAGTTCATTGATAAACACAAGGGGTTGATATAGTCATTTAAAGAAAATGGCTGTCACTTAATTGTGGGAATGAAGCTTATAAGGAGCTCACTAGGCTTAAGTTGATATGAAAGGAGAATGAGATTGGTTGATTGGATTTGTACTTTATACATCAGCTCAATTGGAAAAGGAAGCTTTTTTGGGAATAATGATTTACTTTTAAATAGGGTAGGGCCTTGTTTACTAGCAAGGGCTATTATTTTAACTGTAAAAGCAGCTTAAACTAAGACTAGACAATGGAGAGGGCTAGAATGTATGGAATGAAGAAAATAAGACAAAGAGAAAGGTAAAGCGTAGGAACTAAGTACAGTAGTAGTTTTAAGGGAAGACTAAACTGCTACTAATGTAAAGCTAGAAGTATAAAAAATAAAATGCAAGCCTTTAAAACACTAGTAGTAGTAGGCAAAGAAGATTTTGATATAATGAAAAGGTTATAGGTTATTTTATAGTGATAAAGTACTAAAAAAGAGGGAGGGGAATATCTTTATATGTAAAATATGAGTTACATCGTGTTGAAGTTGAGGATTATCAAAACTAATATCAAGGAAGTTAAGTCTGTATGGACTTCTATTAAAAGGTGTAAAGGGTTTTAGTTGGAATTTGTTACAGATCACCACATGAAAGTAATGAGAACCTATACTGTGAAATTAAGATTTCACTTGCTCATGAAGTCATACTTATGGGTGATTTTAATTTTAGGCATATAGATTAGAAAATTTGATTGGTCAAACATGAAAGTGTCCAGTTTTTTAGAAACTGTTCAAGATGGTTTTAATCACCAATTGGTGAAGAATTCTACTAGTAAAAACAATGCTATTTTAGAGTTATTGCTAACTTCTAATATAGAAATGGTTGAGAGATTGGGGAACATATGAGTGCAGCTGGTCATTGCTCAATTATGTTTGATGATTTTTAGTAATAATGACATTTTAGTTACAAATGTATAAAATGAAAATTTTGAAAGGATGCAACAAGAATTATGTGATGCAAATTGAATTAATTGGAGTTACTTCTGAAATGTAGAAAATGTTTTAAAATAAACTTTTAAATATTCAAAATAGACATGTTCTTTGTAGATAAAAAATCATGGCAAATAAAGAACCAGGATATAAGAGATAAAATTGAAGATAGGCATTACAAATTTTGGAAGTTTAAATTGACCTACCACAGGAGATTGGTGATAAAGTGAATCAAGCAGGAAATAAGGAAATCGAAAAGGGCTTGTTAAGAGAGGTTGGCTAATAATGTAAAACTTAACAGGAAAGATTCCTTTAAATGAAATAATGTTAAGAAGGAGAGTAGGACCTTTGAGGAATAATAAAGGAGGCTTATAGCTAAAATTTGAAAAATTATGAGATGGTTGGGTTATTAAATTCTGTTTTTCTTCAATTTTGATTAATGAAGATTTAAGCAGCATTCCTCATCGTAAACAACTGTTAGATGTAAACAAGATGATCACATTAATTCTGAGCTAGAAAAAATTGGAAAGAAACAGAATAATAAAGCTCATGGGCCACAAAATATTTCCCCAAGGATTGTGAAGGAGGTTAAGGGTTGAACATGTGAGCCACTTGCTATTATGTTTTTAAGTCCTTGTATACAGGGAAAGTGATAGAAGAGTGGAAGTTGGCTAATACTACTACCCCCTTTATTTTTTAAGGAAGATGATAAAAAAATAAATCTGTAATTATAGGCTTACTAGTGTATAGTCTGTCATAAATGATGGAGAAAGTACTACCACTCCTACCCCATAGTATACCATAACCTCCCATTTCATAGCTAATTGAAATAAATTTTGAGAAATAGAGTGGCTCACAAAAAGGCAGAAAAGTGCAGTCGAGGCAGTCAAAAGTATAATCTAATAGTGTTGTTAGTCTGTGTACTGAAAGTATAAGATGTAATGTATAGACAACAAAATTGAAAAACTATTTGTTCATTTCTTAATTTAGTCTCCATTGATTAAAAAGATTAGTTTAATAAAAACATTGGTGATATAACAGAAAATAGTTAGATTCAAAAATGATAGAAGTTTAAAATTGAATCGATATTTTTACATTCATCATACATTTTATGCACTTGACTCTAGGCTAGGTGATCCCATAGTACATCTTTACTTTAGGCTTATTATACCAACACTCACTACACTTATAAGGTTTAACAGCCTCCCTCCTCGATGGCCCTCTTACAACCTCATCACTAAAACCACAATGGGCAGATAGTAATCAAACTATTCTATCTGGATAAATGCGCTTTGGTTTTTATGACCCCTCTTGTTTTGAGGAATCAAGTATTACATGACAGTGGCTTTTATATGGGTTAGATTAGTCTTAAATCAATGTTGGGAAAACTTTTTGAAAGTCTAATAAAAGATGCTTTTTAAAGTCATTTAACAAAGTTTAAAATTTTGTTGGATAATCAACATGTTTTCACATTCTTTGAAGAGTTTACTGTTTACATATGTGGATTTCATATGTTTGGATTTTTAGAAAGCATTTGACAATATGCCCCATAAAAGGTTCGTTAAAAATTATCTCCATAAATGTGGGGCATGGGTTGGCACACTGGGTAGAAAAGTGACTAGGTTGAAGAAAGCAGAGGATTGTAATAAAAGGAGTTTAGCAAAATTGGATTAATGTCTTGGGCTTCTTTCCTTAGGAAGGACATTCAGTTATTGACATTGGTTACTACAGTAATATATGGGATGGAAAGGTTGTATTTGAGGACATTTTTTTCCTCAGAAAAAAAAAGAGGTTGAAGGTATGTTTTTGAGGTGTTTAAGATTGTTAAGGGATTGTTGGTGTTAATGCATCATCTTTTTTTCATATTTGATGGTGAGAATGGTGGAACTTGTGGACATAAATATATATTTTGGTACTGTGCGATTCATTTCAAACTAACCCAGTTAACCTTTTAAATGGATTGCCTTCAGATGTGGTGGATGTAGTAAATTTATAGGAGTTTTAGGTAAAGCTTGATAAATACTTAAAGGGTAAAGGCTGGCTTTTAGTATTTTATATTGATTTTTAAGTTAAGTTTAGTGGATAGGATAGTTTAGATGGAACAACAAGTCCCTTGTTTTCCTTAAATTTTATGATTATGTACATAGTTCAATGACACACAGTTCAGTACCTTTTAACTTGATGGTATTGGATATGACAGATTAGTGTGGCTGACATAACATTGTGCCTTTAAGTAAGTAATTTTGTACAGTAGTACAACACACAAAATATAGGGGCAGGATGACTTGTAACTCTTTCATCTACTGCATTTTTCTAGCATGATACTAATCTTGTTTTTGGTCACCTTGTTTTTTTGGTCTTTTTAGTTAAGTTCCAGATTAACTTTGGTTTCATGTGCATGTTGCAGAAAATTATATTCAAGTCAAAAATATTTTGCCACAGTATTTTTTAAGTCAATCTGGGTACTTCCTATATGTGAAATAATTACCAATGTTGACTAAGTACAACATGGATGCCATTATGTTTGTTTTAAAATATGCAGTAACTGCTCATTGAAAAAATGTTATAGTATTACTGATAAGGATAGTAATGTTTATACTGCATCACAACTGCAATTAGAAATAAATAACCAGTTAATCACTTAATGTATGTAAATTATTTGAGCAGGATAAACACAAAAATAATATTTAATAAAGATTTGAGTCCTCAGAATATTTTGCAGTCACCTGTACTTACAAACATTAAACTTATTGGATTTGATTTTGTTTGGTAAAAATAATAAACACTGATGTTTAAAATATTGCAACTCAATGAAATCATAATATATCTATTAAAAGGTAGAAAAACTAATTCCGATACAATATCTTATCCCCTAACACAAACTAGCTTTTCTCAATTAGTACTGCTCCCTATTGGCACAAATTTTGAAAAATCACCACTAGCCTTCCACCTTCTGCTTCTGCATATCCACATGTAAATGGTTATGCAACAGATCTCCACCAATAGGAGCACAACACAACCCCTTCCATAACCAGCACCCTCTTCACATTTGCACTCATTAACCACTTCTAGATTGTCAGTAGTACTGCTCAGACATGCTTGTTTTTGCTCACAAATTTGTCACTGTTTTCCTTCATAGTACAGACTTTGTTTTTCTTTCCTATATTTTGTTCTTTTGTTATTTATAGGGGACCTTGTGTATTGTAAATCCATTCTGTGGCGAGTAGTGCGTGACCAGGTATACTTTTTTTTTCAATCTGCACTGTCAATCCTGTGACCATGCTCAATGTCAATTAAATTGTAGCTCTTTGTACTGCAGACCTGATGTACAGTTCCATATGCCCCAGATGTTGGTTTTGTCTGTGTTCAGGTATCATCTATGCCGAAACAGTTACATCACAGGATTAGGTTACGCACACCATACAGATGGGGTGTTTAGTAGAACCACTAGTAGTTCTCTCCAGTGATCTTATGCTTCATGAATATGTTAGCCCCAGACCATACACTCATGGACACACATGAGTCAAGCAGTCTATTGCATCCTAGTCACTTGACACCCAGGAGTCCCATTAATCATTAATATGTATTATGGGATTCCTTCATGTTTGCAACACATAAAATAGAGAAGAGTGTACCTGGATCATATGTGGTTTGGTCTCCTGATGAGGTGTGATATTTTCGTTTTTGATTCTACATCTCGTGGTCTCTCTCTGGGTGCTTCCTAAAGGGGGGATAATTTTTGCACTGGCACTCCACTAGTTCAATGTGGGATTCTAGCTATTTTGTGAGGTAAGATATCGTATTGGAAATTAACATTTTCCTAAACTGAAAATGTATTTCTGATAGATAATTACCTTCATTCACATTTCCCACCCAGCTTCCACACTTCCGGTGATATGTGGTGTAGGTCTTCTGACCAATCTCGAAGTGATTAACGAGTACAACTGTGGAGAGGGCACAGGTTACGATAAGGAGCATGTCATGCTCCTATTGATGGAAAGCTGTTACATAATCATTTACTTGTGGATATACAGAAGTGGGAGGTGGAAGGCTAGTGGTGAGCTTTGAAAATCTGATCAAACCACTTGATGTGACACAATAACAAGGTATCAACCAAGGCCTGTATCTTAACTTTAAAAAATGCTTGATAGGGATGATAATCATAACAAAAATAATTATTCTTTATGATGGGCAGAGAAATTCTAAAATAAATCAGAGTTGTTTTGTTTGCAGTAAAAACTCTGCAGATATACAGAAATGAAAATATGAACTCTTTTCAATTTTTTTTGACTTACATTAAATAATTGTCATATAAAGACAAAATATTGATTTTAAAATATTGTTGAATTAAAATTTTTGAAACATAGTTTGAATTAATATATAAAATTGACAATATAAAATATGAAAATTAAAAACTATATGAAAACGTGTCTTCATACTTTATGCACAGTAATTTAGAATTAAAAAATTTAGTCACTTATCAGTCACCTATTACAATAGTACTGTGTCACTTTTCCATGCTTGTTATTCCAGACAATTCAGTATTGATTTATATATTTGTAAGGGTGTTTACAACATGTTGGGGCCTTAAACACTGTACCTGTAACTACTCAGTTACTGAAATGGATGTAACTAATCAGTAGAGATGAATAATCATAACTCTCTTTATTTATTTGTACGTAACCAAAGTAAAAACCTAATATTTTTGGATATTCTTCAAATAGCCCAAATATAAAGTGAAGGATGAGACAGCTAGTGACAATAAGGTACAAGAGGTCATCCCATGTGCATACCATAACCCTTGGAAGAGAAAACCATCAAAAACAGAGTTGATTAAGGGATAGTTTAGTGTACTGTATTATTTATGTATCAGTATTGTTCAAGGAACTTAAAATCCAGGAAATGGGACAGTATTATAATCTATGTTTTTAGTATTTTAATTTATATATTTGTTTGCTAGAGAAAGTTAATGATAATCATGATTTAATGATATAAAAATTTCATGTAGTAAGTACAATAAAAAAGTGATTAAAATGCCAGAAAGAGTGAATCAGTAGTCAGTGTATTAATCAGTGAAGCAGTGATTCAGTTAAGTGTCAGTCAATCAGTTTACCTGTTTAGTATTTGTTAGGGGTTTAGATAGTGAGGTAGGCAGTGTGTATGTTTATCAATTGATTAATGAAAAACAGTGCAAGTAAGTTTATAAGTAGGTTAGGCATACATTAGTTTCAGAGTGTTGTGGAAATATTTTTTGTGACATTAGGTAACTACTAGTAACTATTGCCTGTATCAAACATTGAAGAAATAATCTAACTTGTTATTGTTTGATGGACTGCATTGGACATTATTTATACTAAATTTTGAAGAAAAAAATATATATCAGTGATAGAACTTATTACAACAATATATCAAAACAGATCCTTAACAATGAAAATGACACCAACTACAACATAAAAAAAATAATTATTTCATGATAGATAACACATATTAAATAAGAAAGCTCTCTTGGCTTTAAGGGGGTAGTCTAGTAGACTGCATAAGATAAAACAATGCATAAACAAAACACTAAAACAAAGAGAATGTATATAAATTCTAAGAACATACCAATGAAAGTAAAGAAAAATATCTTATGCCAATCACACTACATCTGCCAATATTCAGGACTGATGAAGCTTTTCAACCAATACCAGAGCTCATCAGGCCAGCTGGGATGTGACACGGTTGTGGTCTAGACTTTCATGAACAGCAATTATTAAGGTGTGAACTAGATTAAGTAAGTGAATTGTAATTATCAAGTTTTGTTTAAGTCATTTACAAATCAGAATTTTAGGATAAGGTTAAAAAACAATATTGTTTATTTATTTTTTAACACTAAAACACCTTTCAACAGGGTAAAAATTTACTACAAAAATGATGGATGAACATGAAATATCTCTTCAAGAAAGTACTAGAAACGTTAAAATAACTCATTTTGAATGAAAATTCACAAGTAATACACTTTGATACTGAAATTGTCAACATACACTTAAATACACTGCAATTAAAAATTTAAACTTTAACCTAAACAAATATAAACACTATAAAAATAAGTTACAAAAATATATAGTGTACAAAATATATAGTATACAAAAATTGAGCAAAAACTAAATTTACAGTTTAGTTTGAAAAAGATAATGACTTACCTAAAACAACCCCAATGGCATGCCCTCCAATGCAGCCACTGACCTCTATTGAGCTTTCTAAATTTGCACCAGATTCTCTTGGACTTGAAGTACCTCTTCCTCTATTTGCATTGATGGCTTTAATCACTTTAGAATAAACAACTTGCATTCATTTGAAACCAAGAGAAGTCAGATGCATTTTTATGTTAAACACAAAGCAGTTTTGATACATATGTTTATATGCATCATTAAACCATTTAACAAAGTTTATATTAGTGTTTACTTACCTTGTCATGGTTGTTGTGGATTTTTTTATATTTGATATAATACCTTTTGCTAACATATAACAAGTTTTTATGATGTAAGGAGAAGAATCAAGGTTACAAAAAAAAGTTTTATTTTTGTAATAAATAATGCCTCTTTGAACATATGTAGTCAACCAAATTATTTGTTTAAGATAGTTATGAAGATGAAGCTTATAAATTAATTTGAAAGTTATCAAGATAATGTGAATTTTGAGATTAATATTTGTTGGAGACTTTGGAACTTTTTTGAAGTATGCAAGTTCTAATTCTTAACTTATTTCTCTGTAGTCTAACTACATGCTTTGACAAGAATATGAAGGCAAAGCTCTGATGTAACCATGGAAGTATTAAAGATGAAGGTTGAACCTTTTTCTGATGAGGAGCAGGATGCCATATTAGATATCAACTTGTTGAAAAATGAAGAAACATTTACATTAACTAGTAGTAAGTGTATAGCTGTAGTGCTTAAATGTGCAAACAACATTTATTTCATCTCACAAAAAAAGACCTATCATTGTTTTGTTTTTTCAGGTTCATGGTGCAGTGAGAACTTGCACAATCTTCTGTATGTCAAAAACTTTAAGAGGTTTAAAATAAGAGCAATTATGTGTGAGCATTGAGTAGTGTCACATAAAATCTATACTATTATTCTGCTTGTTTGTATGTACGACCGTTACGCTTTCTGACCGACAACCTGCTGCATAAACATGCATAATTAGAATGTTTCCCCAAGAAAAACCATGCATGAGCATTATTTACTCGACGACAAATAGTCTGCCTGGGGCAGAGAGCTGTAAAACTCGGTGATCAAGTCACTACAATTGCTGTATGAAACAAAAAGTAACAACAAAAGGGGAATGTGAATATACTTTACTAACCATTTTGTTCAACAGAATATTAAAAACTTTGATAAGTTTTTAAAAAAGATTTGATGTTAGGTTGTAGAATAACATTATAAGTTTATTTATCGATAGTATTAAGTACAGTAAATTTTTTTCTTTTTTTTTTATTCCTGTAAACTCCCAGTGGAGCATAGGGCCGCAACAACATCTCACCAACGAAAAGTGTTGTTGCAGTTACTTGTAGCAGGTTGTTTTTTACGGGGTGGAGTTGCTAGCCCCGCGCCCAACCCTCCCCCTTTCTTATCCTGACCAGGCAAAGGCGGAGTTTGGCATGTTTGGTGTGACGGGGATTCGAACCCGCGACCCTCAGATTACGAGTCGAGCACCCTAACCACCTGGCTATGCCGGGCCACAGTAAAGTTTAGTCCTAACTAAACTAACGTAAAAAAAAAGTACATAGGTTACAGTGTTAATTTATCTCTTTATCGAGCTTAGGCCTAACATAAGCTAAAGTTTTATAAAGTATGGCCTATATATAAGTGGATTTACACATTTCGTTGTCTAAGATTACAATTCATTTGTATTGTGCTAGAAATGTTATATTTAAAGAAGTACTGTTACGATAAAAATACTAATTAAGCCGGAAATGTTTTGCAGGTCTCTCATAGTAATTGATTAATCAAAATTTAGATATGTGAAGAGTAATAACCAATTGGAATTAGTGTTTTCATTAAAAAAATTTTAATTTTATCAATAATTCAAATTTTTTTCAGTGATAAAATTACATTAGTGATTCTGAGAACCCATGAGTGAAAGCAACAGAAAGTGTTTTGTCAGTTACACTGCATATGCCATATCCAGTATTGATGAGGTCTCTTGAGGGTTTATCAAGTTGGCTGGAATACAAATGTAGTAGTCTAGATGCGACATATATACCATAGATTTTTTATGAACAACTGTTGACAAAGGTTACATACGACAGTGATTTTTCAATAGGGTGTATACATGCTTAACTTTGTTTTTTGTAATGTCCTCCTAGACAAAGGATATCCTTCTAATTTGGAGGTCTTGGGTTTAATTTATTCCTGTTGCCACCAAAAATGCTCTCTTTTTCAGCCATAGTTTTTTTTTATGTATTTCTTTTTGAGCTATGGCAAAGCTACTAAGGCTACCAGCTACTGTACCTGATGTTGAATTGCCGACTAAAGAGAAGGTTCCTGGCTTACAGGACTAACCACCAACTTTTGGACTACTTTAGTGTTAAATAAGATGTAAAGGTACTGTTATTTGTATAATTTAACTCTATTCCTTAATGTTGAATAAGATGTAAAATCTGTTTTTACGTTGTGTTATATTGTAATGTGTACTTTACATATTTATTTTCTTTAGTGTTAAATAAGCTATAAATTTATTTTTACTACACTGTGTATGTTATTTCCAAAAAATACTTACCTCCCCTGACACTAGAGTTATAATTTGACTACCAGGGTTTCTTCCTTTTCCCATCTAAGTATTGGTGTGAATTTTTCTCGCTTTCTCCAGTCTTATATATCCTACTTCATTGCCCTTGGTGATATTTATCTCGTGACATTCTCCACCTACATCAATGCACCCTCTATCCTGGTACTGTATATAAGCACCTCATTCAGATAATTTATCACTTTTTTCTCGGCAAAGCATTCAGGGTTTCTCTGTACTGCGACTGTTAGAGACTCTTGGGGCGATTTTCATGTCACCTAGTTGATTTTCATAAAAAAAATTTGGTACGAAACGCTGATATACAACATGCATTCCTGGGTTACATTTTCACGCAAGAAGCCTGATCAGACCTCCACTATCCCACCTCTGGTATCTAACATTACTCAACAGTTGGGGGGTGGGTGGGTGTCACTCTCCTTTGAAGCTGTCCATAATCTGATTCACAGTGAGGTGGAGACATATATTTGGCCTGGGGGTGTTTCTGCTGGAGGCTCTGCTGCTTTTGCTGATGATCCTGGACATTCTGGAGATAATGTAGATTCCCCTTTTTCAGCACCTCCCTTTACTAGGTCAACTTCTCATGAAGCCAGTTTGGATCAACCACCTCCAGCTTCTTTCCTTCAGTTAATCAATCCCGTGTGTGATGTTTTGGGTGTTCGCCAGTTGCCTTTGAGTCTCTGCCTTCCTTGATGGCAGAAAGATCTGATGGTGAGTGCATATTTAGACTTTCAAAGACTAGCTTTGCTTTTGAAAATGTGGGGTTACAGAATAGAGCCTGTGATCAACTTAAACAGATCACAATTTTATAGGATTTGTCTGACCCTCACTACAGTTCTCAGATATTTATCATCCCACCAAACTTTGTCAAAAGTCTTGTTGTAGGGCATTTTTATACCTACTGCCACTCTTAGAGAGTTACATAAGGTCCTCTTTCTTTGAACTTTGATTTTTGCAGGCATTCCAGAGACCTTGGAATCACGGTTTGATATCACTAGTTTGCATTCATCATTGTCGTCGCTGGCCTCTTGACTTTTATCAGCTCCTACAGGGAGTCACGACTCTACTCCTATTCGAGTGTCTTGACATACGACATCAGCCTCTCAATCCATTGGTACCCAGAATAAATTCCACCCATCTCAGAGTCTCCTCCGATATACTGGTGGGGTTTGTGGGGGGCTCGCTATGACATTTCTGGATGTGTGGAATTCCTTTACCACAAATCCAAGAGTGCTACAGGTTCTTGCATTGGGGTTGGTCATTCAGTTCACATCACCACCACCATTATCCTCCCAACTTGTAGTGTTTCTGCCTGCAACAGATCTTAGGATTTTGTACCTTCATTCCAGGGCTAACAGAGAGTTGTTGGTCAAGAAGGAAGTAGAGAGAGAGTTGACCCAGTTCTTCTAAGATTTTATTCCTGTCTGTTTGCTGTGCCCAAAAGGATGAGAAATTGGCATCCAATCATCGATCTTTCTCGTCTCAACCAATTCTTTGATCGTGCCAGGTTCACGATGGAGTCATTCATCAACCTACATTGGAATTTTTTGCCAGGACTGTGGATTACCAAGTTTGATGTTGCTGATGCCTATCTCCACATTCCCACAGCAGGGTCGTCCCGCTACTAGCTACATTTTGTGCAAAAGGGTCAGGTACTGCAGTTCAAGATTCTACCCTTCAGACTAACATCAGCACCATATGTGTCCTGCAGAATAGTACAAGATTTTTCTCGTCACTTTTATTCTCTAGGCCTGTGCACACATCATTATATAGACGACTGGTTACTCCTAGCACCATCTTGTCTGTTGGCAGAATATCACACCCAGATTCTCCTTTTGGAAACCACCAAGGCAGGCTTTATTATCAAAGCCAAGAAATCTATTTTAATTCCAACTCAATATATTGTCCATCTGAGTGTCTTTTTCAACACGTATCTCAGTCAAATTCCATCTGGCTCCATGCTATTGCAACAGGCAGTCAGATTCTTACATCTTCTCCCACTGCGCGAATGGTTCTTTCTCTTTTGGGGATATGGGCATCATTAGAATCTCTCATTTCTTTGGGACAAGTGCACATGAGATCCCTTCAGTGGTCACTGTGTGACTAATGGATCCCAATCTCGTTATTCAGGATCAACATTTTAGATCTCAAGTGGTGGTCAGATCAGAACAATACTATGATAGGTGTTCCTGTACCACCACCTTGACCTGAGACCCATCTCTTCACAGATGCCTCACTTTAGGAATGGGGTGTGTATGTCAATGGTCAGGAATTCCAGGGCCTATGGAAGGATGACAAAACTTCCTTCCAAATCAATATTAATTTAGAGCTCTTGCTGTCCAAAAATGTGTCCCAATGGCACAGCGTTATGTCTGCGGACTTACAATGCTAGAAACCGGGTTTGGATACCTGTGGTGGACAAAGCACAGATAACCCTACGTGTAACTTTGTGCTTAACTTCAAACAAACAAAATCTAATATGGAACACTATGCTCAATGTTTTTTGTGCCAATTTAAAGCAAATGAATTCCAAAAATCACAAAAAAATAGAAGGTCAAAATCATTAAAAACAGCTCAAAGAAACAAACTGCCCAAAAATCAATGTTTCCAGGTCTAGAATTACCGAGGGGGGGGTCCTCATTCTTCAATCCAACAATTCCATGGTGGTGTCTTACATTTCCACTCATGGGGCCACTCGATCATGGGATCTTTGTTTTCTAACATTAGATCTTCTTTATTGGGCTCACTCCCATCATATCAGCTTATGAGCTTGCCATTTTTCAGGGGTGATGAATTTAATAATAGATCATTTGTCCTAACCAAATGGATGCTACATAGTGAGGTTTTGTGGTGGATTTGCTCTCGGTTTGTCACACTAATGATCCATGCATTTGCCACTCATTGGAACACCCAAGTACAGGAATTTTAGTCTACCTCACCCTCAGACATTGGTGATAGGTGCATTTAGTCAGTATCTTCGTAGTCCCACGATGGACATTTATCAAAGGAAATGACACACCTATTGACAATGGTGTCTCATGGGGAAATTGAAACCACTTCATTAAGATGTGTGCCAACCATAGCTCGTTTTTTTTGCGTGATCTAAAATTGCCTTATATAAGGTGGCTTTATCGACTACATTTAGATACTCGAAAAGACAATTATTTGACTCCCTGGTGTTAACCGGCATTCTGAAGTCCTTTTCAAGTTTTTCATCACCAATTCATTTGACCATTATTTCTCACCTCTATGACCACTTAAACCCCGATTGCTTGTTATATCTAATTATGGCCTTGAAGTGGTATGTGGCTTGCACCAACTCCTTTAGAGCTGATAGACAGTGAATTTTTATTCATTGGGATACTTCAGTTTCCCGTGATTTACCCCCGATTATCTTGACGAGGTTGGTTTGAAAATTAACCCATATTGCTTATTTTGGGCTGTCTTTGAAGGTGAAAAAAAGTTTTGTGAGTCATATCTCATCAGATCTGTCATATGTCTATGTTCTTAACTGCCTGGTTGAATTGCCTGATAGAGGACATTGTGTGGGTTTGTTTGTGGACCTTTCCCAATACTTTTATCTTGCATTATTTGCATGAGCTGGCAATTTCTTCCTCTGAGGGTTTTCGACTACTCCCCTATGGTTATCTTGACCATATCAGCTAGATTATAATTAGAGGTGAGTATTTTTGTTGCTCCTTTTGTGTCTTTAGTTTTCAGGGCCCCTTACCTCTGTACCGAGTGTTGCCCAGGCAAATGTGCTTTATCAAACCAATTCCTCACTAGCAACTTCTAACTCACTATACCTTATCTAGGTTGCAACAGGCTCTGTGAAAGGAGGTGTTTCATAAGACCACCTAGAGGCTAACTGGGTATTATTACTTTACTATGATGGACCACCACTCATGGACTATCATGAGTAAAGCATAAGGGCATCCTGCCTGTCCTTGCCAATCATTGGATTGAATAAATCATGGTCCATTTGCTTTTAAAAATTTAGGGAACTTGGTTCACCTATTGCACTGTATCCCGAGCACTGTTCCTCAGGGCTCCCCAATGAGCATTGCCTCCCAAGTTCTATTAGTGGAGCTAGGGAGTCCTTACCATGCCCAGTTTCCAGTCACTGTGGTGGTGGACAGAGGCTTTTCCTCCAAAGTGTTAGATAGAATTTCCTCCACTTTTGAAAAAGAGGGCAAAGTTGGAGCCCTTCTCCTCTTTTTCTTTGATTTGATTTTTCCCAGATGTTGGTAGAAGAGGCACCAGCCTATTCATAATACAGGTTCAGCTTTGATACTCGGCTATCCGGTTGGGTTGAGCATGGCCCTTCTTTTTGATCAATATTGTCTCAGTACGTTATTCATGGAAAAGGGTCCATTGTCTCCTCTTAATTCTGAACATAGATTGGTCCCATCCTGGGTTCTTGGTTGAGCACAGTTGTTCCATGTCCTCCCCATAATTCCAGGGGCAAGTGGAATTTACCTTGTCCACATGGTCGGGGAGTGAGGATGAGTGTTCATAATTCCAGACCAAACGAGTTCTGTTCCTCAAGTTGAGTAAGGCATACACAATTCCATCATTCTGTGCCTAGAGCATTGCCTTTAATTCTTCGTATTTTTTGGCAGAATGCTACAAGTTCTTTAAATACCTTTAGAATGATAGGTTTCTTTTTTGTGAGTGAAAAACACTTAAATACACCATTTCAATTTTCGATACCTCACTACTATAAAGGAATGGTTTGTTCTGAAGTTTCATTTGGTGGTAATGTCCAGGGTCACTGATGAGGAGTGTAATTCTCTGAAACTAGTCTGGCCCACAGACACATCCCTAATGAAAGAATAGACCATTCCAGGCTTTTAGTTGTTGTTAAACAAATGTTTAATCAACCTTGTTCAATTTCAAACATTTGTTTTCAGTGAAACATTATACTTAATATATTTTTTTCTACCTTAACTCTATACAAATTTGGTCATAAACCACCAAAAACAAATTGAAATATACATAAAAATTACTCTTTTTTTTTTTTTTTTCTTCCTAGAATGACTTCAAATTTTAATGTGAAACTAGTTTAGTTTATCCTAAGCAGCTGTAAATTCTTAACTTAAATTTTATTTTTGGATTGCCCTTTAAACCATGCCTAACTACTATTCACATCATTATAAATTGTAATTCACATGGGGAACATGGAGCTCACGTTATGCAATCGAATAACATTACCAAAGAGCTGTTTGTGTGTGTGCCTCATTAAACATTTTTATTATTTTACCTAATCTGACTTTAACTAACCTAAAGAGATACCTTTGTTTACATTTTAGTTACTTTTATAATAATAAATAAATAAAGAATACACATTAAAAGCAAGAAATATAGTACTTACCTGGGTCTTATTTTTTTTGCTCTTGAAAACATTTAACCCTACTTATTTTATACTAATGGTAGTAATGCACTAAATAATTTATATTTAATTAAATAATGCACCAAAAAAAGAATAACATGCAAAAATCAGACAGTGTTCCATAAGTATCACAGTTTTTCTGGCTTTTTAACTGCGACAAGAGCTGTTACAAATTCATCTACGCTAGTTGATATCTTTCTTGTGGGAATGAAGCTTGTACTAAAAGAGAAATTGACAATTCTCTGCTCAGAAAACAATCTAATATAATACATCATTTGTTAGATGAAAACCTTGGCTTTCTATTGGTTATAAATAATATAATATGACATGTAATAGAGAAGTATTAACAAATCCTGAAAAAGAGGATGTGGCAAGAGGGATCTGATTTTCTATTTGATGGCTCTGTAACCAAACGAGATTGAAGGCTAAAAGAAGTATGTTTCTTCTGAGTGATGACAATTTGATAATGAGTAATTTACATTAAATTTCATACTTACTGATGTGGTAGGGATTAAATTAGAGAAGAGTGGATGCCAAGAGAAAAAATATCACATTTCTACACTAGGGGAAATTTGTGATTTTTTATGTAATATTGCCTTATAAATCAAGAGTTTAAAACTTATATGCTATTAAAATATTGATTATTAGCTATAATTGTATGCTATACTAATTGGTATAATATAAACAAAAAGTAAATGAATTACATTTTTAATGTAAGTCACTAAAAACCTTGTGACATGCACAGTAAAAGATGCCCATTGCAAAAGGGTTAATGTGAGCCATAGGGTGGTCACTCAAGAAGGGGACTACTGTGATTCATTAATCAGTTAGCAAATTCCTCTAATCACTCAGCTCTAAACTTAGCCTTGTGTTAAAGCATATAACCTCAAACTACTTTGATAATTTTACTTTTATTTAACAATTTTCTATGCATATTCAATTTTATCTGTTAAAAACTTTTTAAGAACAGGTACTTACTTCTGAATCACGGTTTACCTCTTCTTCTTGAGTAGATGTTACTCTGTTAACATAACGTGGCCTACAGTTATTAATATCCTTGAAGCAGAACAGTAATTATATCATAAATACTAATAGTTCTTCCACACTTTCCAAGAGACTCGTTTGCACTTCCATTAGGAGACTGTTTCAATTCTATCCTTGAGATCTTCTTATTGACAGCTGTGCTGTTCATATTGTTAGCTCTGTTTTCCATGAACTGCTTTAAACTTGACTGTTAACCCTGATGGTACCACTTCTGCTAACTTGGAAGCTTCTCTTTCTTTAATTCCTAATTTGACCTTTTGGTGTATAAATGTATCCTGTGGCTGCTTTGTTGGCATTGATTAACTAACGTATTTGAGCCAGCTCCCGAAATTAGGACATCAAGTCCACAACAAAAAATATGCCATTTTTACTGTTTTAATAAGGACACCACATCAAATGCAGTCGTCCATTCTGAAAATTCTTTCACTTAGAGATAGATTTAGTATATGAGCAGGGTGCATAGCAAGCATACTCACAAATTAAGGAAAAATTAAAAATTGGGATTAGTTTTTTTCTGTGATTAAATATTTTTGGTAAAATCATATTATGTGTGGACTTTTATTATGATTTATTGAAGCTATTTATAGACAAATTTACATTATTTATACTTCTAGCAACAGAAGTAGCTGATTCCTTAGAAGAAAGATCTTCACATACAATTTTGAAGTATGGTTATGCAAAAGAAGAACAAGAAAAGAACTGTGATGGAGCATTAAAGAAACCTGAGGTAATTTGTAGTTTAAAATAGTTACAGTTTTCTTACTATAATGCTTATGTAGCAGTAACTATATCTTCCAAAACCTCCTCTCAAACTTGCAGCCATTGATTCTTCCTTTGCCCATTTTTTTCTCGCTTGCTCCAGTCTTTCATACCCCATTTAATTGCCCTTGGCAATATTATCTCATGAACCTCTCCACCTATGTCAATGCACTCTCTATCCTGCTACTGTATATAAGCACCTCATTCAGTTAATGTTATCACTTTTTCTTGACAAAGTATTCAGGAATGATTTTTTTATTGTGACTGTTAGAGACACTTGGAGAGATTTTTGCATCACCTAGTTGACTTTTCTAAAAGAAAATTCTCATTACGACACACTATATATTGATTAGACATATTTACTAACCCTCCTGGGTTACTGTTTCCAGTACAGAAACTAATCAAACCTCCCATATCCCACCTCTGATATCTAGCATTGCTCAAGAGTTGGGGGGTCCACTCTCAATTGAGACTGTCTGTGATCTGAATCGTAGTGAGTTGGAGACATATATTTAGTTCTGGTGTGTTCCTCTTGGGGGGGGGGGGGCTCTAAGGTTGCTTTTGCTGACAATCTTGGACATTCTGGAGAGAGTTTAGATTCACTTTTTCTGGCATCTTCTTTTACTAGGTCAACTTCTTACGTAGCCAATTTGGATCAGCCATCTCCAGCTCCATTTCTTCTGTTAGTCAATCGGGTGTGTGGTATTTTGGGGTTTTCCTCAGTTGCCTTTGAGTCTATGCCTTCCTTTATGGTGGAAGGTCTGAGGGCAAATACTTAGTTCTTCCTCCATCACCTGATATTGCTATTCATGCGGGGAGGTATACTGTTCAGTTACGTAAAGGGATAGCTATGCCTTGTCCGCCACGTTTGTCAAAGCAACCTGTTTTGGCCTACCACCGCCAGGGGGATTCATATTTAGACTCCCAAAGACTAAAACTGCTTTTGGAAATGTGGGGTTTCAGAATGGAGCCTCTGATCAACTTGAACAGATCACAGTTCTCTAGGATTCATCTGACTCTCACTACATTCTGAGATATTTATCATCCCTCCAAATCTTGTCGGAATCCTCTCAGTGATCACGTCAATTTTATGACTTTTTTGGGACATCTATTGTTATCTAAATTTGAACAATTGACAGCTTCTGCTCTTTCTTTAGTTTCTTGGTTGGGATTTGTTGGGTAAAGATGCCTTGTTGGGAGGCATTTGTCTACCTGCTACCACCCTCCATTAGTTAAATGAGGCCTCTTTCATCGTCCCTTGATTTTTGCAGGTGTTCCAGAACCCTTGAAATCACAGATTGATGTCACCAGTTTGCATTCCTCATTGTCGTCATTGGCCTCTTGACTTTCTTCAATTTCTGCAGGGAATCACAGCTCTACTCCTATTTGAGTACCCCGACATCAGTCCCTCAATTCATACCCAGTATATTTTCTGCCCATATCAAAGAGGCTTCTCCGCTTGGTCAGAATGTCAGCAGCTGTGACTACCCTATGCCGGTAGGGTTTGTGGGGGCTTGGTTACAACATTTTCTGAACGTATGGAATTCCTTTACCAAAGATCCATGGGAACTACAGGTTCTTGGGTTAGGGTTGGTCATTCAGTTTATATCTCCCCCAACCTCTAGTGTTTCCACCTCCAACAGATCCTGTGATTTGAGACCTTCGTTCCAGGACTATCAGATAGTTGTTGGTCAAGGGAGCAGTAGAGAGAATGGACCCAGTTCTTCCAGGATTTTATTCCTGTCTGTTTATTGTGACCAAGAAAATGGGAGATTGGCATCTGATCATCGATCTTTCTCGTTTCAACCAATTCTTAGATCCTACCAGCTTCATGATGGAGTAACTCCTCACCTCACAATGGCAGATTGGCATCTGATCATCGATCTTTCTCGTTTCAACCAATTCTTAGATCCTACCAGCTTCATGATGGAGTAACTCCTCACCTCACAATGGCATTTTTTGCCAAGACTGTTGGGGGACTAAGTTTGATGTTGCTGACGCCTATCTCCACATTCCCATAGCAGGGTCGTCCTGCCACTACCTACATTTTGTGCAAAAGGGTCAGATACTGCAGTTCAAGATTCTACCCTTCAGACTAGCATCAGCACCATATGTGTTCTGCAGGATAGTAAAAGCTGTTTCTCGTCACTTTCATTCTCCAGGCCTGTGCACACACCATTATTTAAACGATTGGTTACTCCTGACACCATCTCGTCAGTTGACGGAATGTCAAATCCAGATTCTCCTTTCAGAAGCAACCAAGTCAGGCTTTATTTTCAGAGCCAAGAAATCTTTTCTCATACCAACTCAATATATCATTCATCTGAGTAGCTTTTTCAACACGTATCTAAGTCTGGCTCAGCCAGATCCATGCTATAGAACAGGCAGTTAGTCTCTTACTCATGTCTCCTTCTTGTACTTTGTGGATGGTTCTTTCTCTTTTGGGGATGTGGGCATCACTCGAATCTCTCGTTCTTTTGGGATGAGCACACATGACATCCCTTCAGTGGTCATCACTGAGCAACTTATGCATCATGAAAACAACAATCCAATGGATCAACCAGTCTCCTTATTCAGGATCAACGTCTTAAATCTCGAGTAATGGTCGGATCGTAACAATGCTATATGTGTTTCTCTGCTGCCACCTTGACCTGAGATCCATCTTTTCACAGATGCCTCACTTCAGGGATTGGATATGTATATCAATGGTCTGGAATGTCAGAGCTTATGGACAGACAATAAAACTTTCTCATACATCAATATTTTAGAGCTTCTTGCTGTCCAAAAATCAATGTCTCAATATTTGGAATTATTAAGGGGGAAAATTGTCATGCCTCACTCTGAAAATTCCATGGTGGTGTCTTACATTTCCTGTGAAAGGGGCACTAGATCAAGGGATCTTTGTTCTCAATCATTGAGCTTACTCCCATTATATCAGCTTGCCATGTTCCTGGGGTGATGAATTTAATAGCAGATCATTTGTCTCGACCCAGCCAAATTTTCTTGACCAAATGGATACTGCATTGCAAGGTTTCTGGTTTTGTGAACTGGCTCTCGGTTCAGGACACCAATGATCGATGCAATTGCCACTCCTTGGAAAACTCAACCACAAGCATTATGGTCCCTGGTACTTCATCCTTAGGCATTGGCAATAGATGCATTCAATCATGATTGGACAGGATTGTACCTCTATGCCTTCCCACCAATTCACCTGTTACCCAAAGTTCTGACTATGGTTAAGTCAACACCTTCTCATGTGCTGTTGGTAGCACCAAACTGGCTGGCTCAACCATGGTTTCTGCTACTTCAGTATCTTCAAAAATGTCCACCTCTGCCACTTCCTATTTGGCCATCTCTGTTGAGGCAACCAAAATCTGACATCCTACACCAAGATATTCCAAAGCTCAAGCTTTATGCATGGAAGTTATATGGTCCTTCGCACTGCATCTGGGTTTAATTTCTAAGGTTGCTATGTATTTGTCTCAGTCTCTGTGAAGTCCTACGATGGACTTTATCAAAAGAAATGGCACACATATCAACAGTTGTGACTCAAGCAAATTGAATCCACTTTTGCCAGATGAGCCAACGATAGCTCTTTTTTTACCTGACTTTTTGACAAGGGTTTAGCATAATGTATGATCCACTTATATAAGGCAGTTTTATCAACTACATTTAGATACTCAAAAAGATGGAAATTATTTGAGTCCCCAGTGCTATCCATTTTTCTGAAGTCATTTCAAGTCCTTCTTCCCAAAATGCCTTTTCAGTTAACTAACTGTGATATTAAATTGGTATTACATGTTTTGTCTCGACATACGTTTTAGCCCTTAGACTCATGTGCCATGTATCCCCTTTCCATTAAAATTTATTTTTTGTTGCTGCTGGCGTGTGGATGTTTCCGGTTGGAGTTGTTTGCGCTGCGTGTGCACAGGACTCTTTATCATTCTACTTGCATCCTTCTATACCGAGACAGGTCTTTCCTACCTAAGACTATCAGCCAGGGAAGGGGATAAATCCTTCTCACCAATTCATTTGACCACTATTTCTCACTTCTATGACTGCTTGGCCCCTGATCCCTTGTTATGTCCAGTTAGGGACCTGAAGGGCATCCTGCCTGTCCTTGCCGATCATTGGATTGAATAAATTTTGGTTGGTTTGCTTTTAAACATTTAGGGAAGTTGGTTCACCTATTGCACTGTATCCAAAGCACTGTTCCTCATGGATCCCCAATGCGCATTGCCCCCCAAATTCTAGTAGTGGAGCTAGGGAGTCCTTACCACCCCTGGTTTCCAAAGTGTTAGATTGAATTCCCTCCACTTTTGAAGAAGAGGGCAAAGTTGGGAGCCCTCCTCCCCATTTTCTTTGATTTTATTTTTCCCAGATGTTGGTAGGAGAAGCACCAGGCTATGCAGGAGCCTATTCCTAATACAGGTTCAGCTTTGATACTTGGCTATCCAGTTGGGTTGAGCATGGCCCTTCTTTTTGATCAATATTGTCTCAGTACATTATGCATGGAAGAAGATCCATTGTCTCCTCTTGATTCTGAACATAGATTGGTCCCATCCTGGGTCCTTGGTTGAGCACAGTTGTTCCACATCCTCCCCATAATTCCAGGGGCAAGTGGAATTTACCTTGCCCACATGGTTGGGAAGTGAGGATAGGTGTTCATAATTCCAGACCATATGAGTTATGTTCCTTAATTTGAGTAAGGCATATGCTATCCCATCATTCTAAGCCTGGGGTGTTGCCTTTGAGACTTCTTCAGGTTGAAGTGTTGCTTACCTTCTCATCACGATTCCAGTGGCTCTGAACACATCACTCTATGGCTACATGTTAGGATCCACTCATACGTATATATTTGTGGTCCAATTACCCTAGCCACCAACGTGGCATATGTGGACCATGTCCGTATAATTCCAACCCTATGTAGTGAAACCTTGCCTATCTGGTTGGGGCCTGGCCAGTGGTGATGATAAATCATGTAAAATTCTACCCACAGTAAATGAATTAAGTTCTGGGTGAAGAGCATACCTGTTCTGGATGTAGTACAGTTCCCCCACTAGAGTACCAACCTTCTATTGCCACAACCATGATCTATGCAAATGCTTTCTGTATAGATAGTGCCTTCACTGGCCCCTCCACTTTATCAGTGTGGGATTCTCGCTGTTGCGTGGGCAGAGATAAGTATGTTTTGTGAGTTAACATTTTCTTAAGTCGAAAATGTTAATGTTTGTAACACCATACCACTTACTTTCCTGAATTTGTTTTGTGGTGGAAGCTGTGACAGGTACTGACAAATATAGAACCTGCAACACTCTGATCATGTAAATGTAGTAATTGCTATTCAATTAACAATAATAAAACCAATAATATAATATAGCAGAACCTTTTGAACTCAATGAACCTTTAAACCCTTTTCAGCGCATCATGAGATTTTGCTCAGTTAAATTCAAAATTGAATTAAACCACTTTTCTATAAACGTATTTTAATGAAATTACTATAATCAAGTACATTATAATTTAAGGTTTTATATTATGTAAGTTTTATTCCTTTATTTTAAAAAGAAAGATTTGAAACAGCGATTAAAACTGCAGTTTTGCTGTCACATGATCCACTGTGGTTAAAATTCTCAAGTTTAAGAGGTCTCAGACAAAAAAGTATATGTTTCTAATATAGACTGTCAGTATAGACAATCAAAATACAGTTCCATTTGTCTCTTATTAAAATAAATTTCAAACAAATACTTCTGAAATTCTTTCCAATGTACTTCCTCACAACCAAATTTTCATGATGACTGCAACTTTCATAAGTATGTTGAAAAATTAGAACTTGTGTAAGATTCATCGACATATGTATAACATGTCACTTGGAAGTTAGGAGAGTGGAGTATTATGGGTAAGTGACATATATGGTATGCAAGTATGTGAAGGACATTTGAAAATTTTAAGTCATATGTTTTGCTGACAGTCCAAACTCAAAGTCAACAAGAAAATGTTTTCAGTATTCCAGAAGTATACCAGTTAGAATTTATTTTGATTCTTAAAATGTAAACATTTTCCACTATACAAAACTCTCCTTCAGCATAACTTTGTCTGTTTTGCTACATTTTAACTTAGTTCCTGTGATTTTCACAAGTACCCCCTGTTAGTTGCTATAACACGTTGTTCTAGGTTCGTGTAGACAGCAACCGATCATTCATTGTTCACTTACCTAATAAACATCTTGTCAGCTAGTAATTAAATATGTGTTTTTCTTTTATGCTAAACTTTCTTATAGCTTACTTTGTGAGTAAGTCTTTTGCTTTATAACCTGAAGTTAAGGCATTGACTGTTTGTCTGAATAGTCTGTTCTGATAGACCAATTTCCTGTGTTAACCAATTTAAAAGTACTCTTCCAGCTTGATACTAATGACAGTGTTTAACGAAGTGTCACTCTAAAGAATGACCTTGTATAAGCTGCTCGAAACCAAGCTTCTCTGTATGCGAATATTTCTTCAGTTGTTTTCCATTTTCCTTGACCCTACTTCTCTAAAGTTTGGCACACATGTATTTCTAACAAAAATTAGCATGAAAAAATAATGAAGTTTAAGTCCAGAAACATTTGAACAGTTTTAAACATGTTCATTGTAAATGATCTAAGGTAAAAACTAACTTTCTCATAAATACCTGATTTATCATTAAAAATTTCCTTTTCTAAAGCTTCTCTGCTTGTTTTGTTATTGCTCGACAAGCAGATGTTATAATGTCTACCTGTTTTGTTTAAGATAAAATCTTTCTTTAGTTCCTTTGGGCCACTGAGAGTTAGAGGTAGACAATGGACAGCTAAAAAAATTTATCTCCTAATTTTTCTTAATTTTCCAAAATTAGGCTTATCTTTCTTTTTCAACATGTAAAATTCAAGAATTAGCTCTAGCTTCAATATTATTTAACTAAAATCCCATTTTGTTGAGAAAATATTTACGTTGAAAAACCTAGAACCACAGAAAGCTGAACCACAGATGTTGAGTGATATTTACAAATTAACTTTGTGTTTCTTTTTATGTCAATTGTATATCTTTACAAGTCTCAATATTTTATATTGTGTATTTGTTGAAAGAAGAAAAGATTTTAATATATTAGTTATCTCCTTTCGAATAATTTCATGTCTTCAAATCATGTTAATCCAAAATCTAAAACTACAAGCAATAGAAATGAAACTGCTTTTCTCTAAATTTTTACATTTTGGTGTTTTGGCTTATTGAAAAAAAAAAACGTTTTAGGTTTTGAAATAGGTTTAGTCTGTTCATTATGAAAAATTGATTTTACTTGTTATGTTTATATCATCATGTTTTACATTAGTAAACTATGGATACTATATGTATTTGTCTACTTTAGTGATGCCACAAGTTGTTATCTTTATTGACCTTTTGAATATCTTGTTTAGAATATATTTGCCAGTGTGAAAACAGAGCAGCCTGATTGTTTACCTCAAGATGAAGTCATTTCAAAGTTCAGTGACAGCAATGATGATGATCTGGGTAGTTCAAAATATATAGTTACGAATGTGAAAACAGAAAAAGAATTTCAAGATTTAAAACAAACTGAATCTAGGTTAGAAAGTGCATCTGGTAAGTACAAATACCTCCTAAACACCAAATTCTTGATACTGGCTGAAAAGAATTTGTAGAATTCTTGGTAATCTTTTAAAGTTTATTGAACCACATGAGACCAGATAGATCTGAAGTGTTTGGTATGTTATTTGATAACTGTACTTAGAAATCGTTATGTGAAAGTTTTTAAAGTGATAAAATAACAATGAAACAATTGACTTGGATAAAATGAATCAGGAATATTTTCTAACTGAGCACTGTTCCTTGTCTTTCCGCTTCTTTAATTACAGAGTTTGTGAGTAATGTATTAAATAGAGCTAGTTACATAAACCACAAATGTTGGTGAAACGTGCATTATTCTAAATGGTACTAATCTTCCTATTTCTAACTAATTATTTTTGAGTCATTTTCAAATTATTATTCTGAAGGTTTCCAATGTGTGTGTTTTTAAATATGTAGTAGTCCTTCATTGATCACTTCTAAATCAAACAAATTGATAATTAAATAATGAAATCCCATTTTAATGTCCCAATAAAGATGATCATGTTTTTATTCAAAACACATCATGATTTCAATAAGGAATAATTAAGTAAACAGTTAGCCAATTCATTCATTCATAATTATATATGTGTCTGGGATTTTCTTAACCAATTATCTGACATGAAATATAAATTAGCTGGTCCATATGAATATCTTGTATTATCAATTGAAATGAAATAACCAAATAAAGTTTCTGCTAGAACTTTCCAGCTCGGGAATTTAACACTTAGCAGTACTTTTAAGTTTTCCTTAAAAATAAATTAGTAAACCTTCTGAGTTAATATAAACTTAAATTGAACATATAAACAGTAAATATTAAAGATAACAATATTATATACAAATACAAAAAATACTTTATACATATTACATAGCATTATGTCATGGATAACCGGCAAAACATCTCTGCACATCTGATCAGCTCAATATGTCAGGTAGCATAGGTGAGCCAGATTAAGTCTGAAACAATATAT